TGGGTGGGCAAATGGTCACTTTATTACCAAAACATTGATCTGTGTTAAATGCAGAGATGCAATAAATCTCCAATTCATCTCTACCTGATGCCTGTTGTATGCCCTAACCACTCTCTTATCAGTTGGCTTTATTTGGTCTGTACTAATGGTGTTTACCCACTGCCCAGCCTAGAGAGATCCACAGTGAAGGAAGGTGGCCAAGAATAAGCTATTCCACATGATGGGGTGAAAAGCTGTTATTTTAAAGGCTGCTTCCGTTATTTCCCATTAGGCCAATTTTTCCTTCATAGAGTCTTCTTGTGAATATGTACCACAAAGAAAACTTCTGAGAGAAGAGGCAAGACCCGGGATTGATTGCCCTCCATACCCTACCAGCCCCTCTCACCACGAGACCTCAGGATCCTACCCTCCACCTCACTTCCTGTTAGCATTTTCACCTTCAGATTTCTCTGTGCTTGTCTGACGGCATCATCGCCACATTTTTGAGGAAATGGTCTTCGGCAGGGAATTTTTGTAAAATAAAAAAGTTCTCTCGTAACTTCAGGAAAGAGCTTATCCACTTGGCCCTGTTACTAATATGGTACAAAACTCTGACCCCAAAGTACAAACAGAAGACAACGTGAACCATCAGGCTTCCAGGCCCTTTAGAGAACAGCAGGAAAACAAGTTTTTTTTAAAAGGTATTTTTATATTTCAGAAAACATGTAATATAAAAATAAAATACGATTTATAAAATCCTGGTTCTTGAATGGGAAGTGAGCTAAGACAATATGATATATGCAGAAAAGCATTAACGCAGCAGGCCTGACTACTCTCCTTTGAAAGGCCTGCTTACGAGGTTGGTTCTTGGCTGGGGACTTGGATTTTAGGAGGGTTCTAACCATTCCCAGAACCAATAAGAGTGGCTCACTGTGCCTAAACTGTTTGTACAAAAATATGGGTTATGTTGAGCACCTGCTTCTCTTCTGAGAGTGTAGACTTTGGGTATGTGCCAAGCAGGGGCTGCCTACTTAATCAGACCCCAATAAAAACCCTGGGCACTGAGTCTCTAAAGAGCTCCCCTGGCTGACAGTACTTCATAAGTGTTGTCACAACTCACTGCTGGGAGAATTAAGGATGTCCACTCCACTGGGAGAGGACACTTGGAAGCTTGTGCCTGGCTTCTCCTGGGCTTTGGCCCATGCACCTTTTCCCTTTGCTGGTTTTGCTCTGTATCTTTTCATTGTAATAAATCATAACCATGAGTACAACTATATGCTTACTCCTGTAAGTCCTCGTAGAAAAATCATCAAACCCAAGGATGGTTTTAGGGACCCCCCCCAGTCCGTGGTATCAAGTATTTTATTAAATGTATCAGTCTTCTGACAAATGATGACCATATCTCCTATGGGGTCACAGTTAAAAATACAACTATCCTACAAGTTCTGGGTGATTAATGTCCTATAGCCTAAGTCCACTAAAGTATGAATGCCATAGGATTGGATGAACAGGTAAAGCAAATTGGTCTATAAACTTTTTTAAAGAAGGAAACTCTTTTTATAACTTTACATTTTTGAAAGTAATATATGTTTGAAACAATTTGTTTTCATTCAGTTGAATTTAACAAAAATATTGACTAAGCAAATACTACATTCTTGGCACTGTTTTAGGTGAATTAAAGAGAAACAAGACATCGATCCTGCCTTTAAGAGACTCAATGACTTTTTTCCTTCCAAGTGAAGGTATTATGGAAAATAAAGGTTTGGAAAAAACCCTGAAGCTTCTTTGTATGCTAACAAAGTGAATTTCCAAGTGATCAGATTGACCTAACACGCCCATAAACAAGAATGATGACTTTTAGTTAAGATCTAAAAAGTCAAAGATTGAATAGAATAACAGAAAAAAAAAATAGGAAATTAAAATATATATTATTGAGCACACAAAAGCAACTGGGCTCCAACTGAAAATAAAAAATTGGCTACAGATTTTAAAAAATGAAAGAACAAGAAAATTTGCAAAACTCTAAAAATATTAATCAGCTATTAGGTTTCTACTATGTGCCTGGGACCATGCTTGGCGTCTGAGACAGACATAATCTCAGTCCTCCAAAACCCCACAATAAAATTAAGAAAGAAACTAACATAAATGAAAAAATAAGTGTGCAACATAAGGAGATATATAGACTCCGCTGGGTTGCATATAGCAAAACGAAAACAAACAATGCTGAGATTATGGATGAACTGCTCTTTTTCATTTCTTTTGTCATTACATTGTTTTCCATAAAATAAATTAGAAAGTGCAAAACAAGTATT